TTTGGAAATGCCAGTGCAACAGCATATCGAATAGCGAATGCACAAAAATATGCCTATATAACATTTATGGATATATTGACAAAAATACAGGAACGATGGACAACACAGTCGAATAAGCAGAAAACAATACGATTTGAAAAAGATCCGGAATGGCAGCCGGATGATCGAGTTGTACTCTTTCAACATTTCTTTAAGGGTTAGTATTAAAAATCTTTTTTTTGCTTCATTTTGCTTCTTTCTTTCCTTTCGCTCTCCTTCACCTCGCCCACGGTTTAATCAGCTCTGCCAGTATTGATTTTCAAAAACATAATCTATTTCGTTCAAATCCAATTAAGTTCTTAGTTTCTTTTTTTTTTTTTATTGGCCACCCTGTATTCTTTATTTAGTTAACGCATAAAAACACTTAATTACACTTTGATGGTGCAAAAATGGAAAAAATTTTTACTGTTTAATGCCTTAGCAATAGTTGAAAATTTTTTGACTCATTTTTCTCTTTAGTTTACAGTGGCAATAATTTCAAAGTCTGTTGTTCGTTTTTTAACTTTTTTTTTTTTTGTTTTGTTTTCTTTTTCAATAATTATATACAGCAGTCTGAGGTTTAAGGAACACAGTGTTAGTGTCGCCACTGATACGGTAAATTCAGTTATTCTATTGATATAAAAAATTTCAGGAAATCGAACATGGGTACTAACAGATTTTGATCGACATATTTTGGCTTACTGGAAACCGAATGGTTCATCAATAATTTTTGGTGATCGTTTTATACAGGAAAAATTGGAAGAAGGTTATACACTTTGTACCTATTGCGGTATGTTGGAGCAACATTTGCAACAGTTTAGGGAATATGAGAAGAAGAAATTTTGCTCCGAAGAATGTTTAAGATCTTTTTTGAATGCTGAAAAAACTGCTGAATGATTACGGGTCATCTTTTTTCTATATTTTTAATTTTTGCTTCTATTTTTTTCTTCTTTGTACAAATGCGATGTATAATTATTATTATATGTCTGTATCAAATATACATAAATATTCAATTTATTTGCGATGCTAGTATAACAACAGCAAAAAAAAACAAAAACAATTTCAAATTTTTTTTCCAGAGATCAAGACTAGCAGAAAGAAAATAAATTAATGAAATAATATATGGAATAAATGATTGAGTGAATGATTTTTTACAGTTAACTGTAAATATAAATTAATATTTGTGGCTAGTTTTATTCGCTGTTTTTTTTTTTTTTCCTCTCATTAATTCATCAAATCAATTTCACGTTTCAAATCATCAAATATGGTTGTCTGTTTAATTTTATTATTTCCCATAAATGTTTTGCATAATTTTATGTATTAATCACCATAACTTTGTACAGTAATTTTCCATTAGAAAAAAAATAAAGCCTCCAACAGAGCACTGTAAATGAGCGTACAATATCAATGAAAAAAAGAAGTCTATTTGAAAATGATATTTGTATCTTTTTTATATAGACAAAAATAAAAAATTAGTAAAACTTTACATGTCAGTAATTTGTTTTTAATTTGTGCATTTCAAGCATCTGAACCACTGCAGAAACCCGAATAATAGAGTTGAGATGACGATGAATATGAATGCAGTATCCAACACCAAGGGGTCAATTTAAGTGCGGAAAAGCCTCTCTACCACACAAAGGATTGTCCGCTGCCCAACCATTGAATCAAACTGAGTAACCATAGAGACCACTGTCCATGCAGATTCCCGGCGTCTTAACTTTTCACTTATCGATTAAATTCACAATCTTTCAAGTCCAGTTTCCTTCCTTGCTTTTTTTAAGCTTCTCTTTTTCTTGTTGTCTTCATGCACTACTAATAACAGCTATTTATCAATGTTATAATTGCACAACTTTTGCTCATAACTGCTCTTAAACAGTGCTGTTAATTTACAACTGCTAACGACTTGTAACGTCACTTGAACAGCGTTGCTTTCTTCCCCTCTAAATTAAAAATATTTTTGGTCCAGATATACTTGAGAGCATCGTAAAAAATGATGTTATATCAAGAGAAAGTTATCTTCTTTTTTTTTTGAAGCTAAGACAAGTGATTGGCTGAGGAAATAAAGTAAAAGATTACAACAATAAAACTTCTGATACTAGATCAATGGAGACTCTAAAAAAAACCACTTTTCTTTTTCTAAAATCACTGTTCTTAAACAATATTATTTTAACAACATATCAGTGGTGTAATTCAGTTTCCTTACTTTAATGGACTATCATCTAAAATCTCTGCTGTTCATAGTAAAGATGTATAACACTTGCTCTTGATGTAAATTAAGCTCAAATAATAGTAGTAGACAGCGGCAAAGAACACAGTGTCCATTTGAAATGTATCTCAACATGTTGAATTGATGGAAACGTGAAGGCGTGGTAGCCAATAAAGAGTGGCC